TTCATTGTAGTTGCTGCCGGTGCTGCTGGGTGAAGTGTCGATGTAGCCGCTGCTGCTGCTGACGTCGCTGCTGCATTCGCCGCTGCGTTCGCTGCTGTTATGGCGGCTGCCGACTGGTTCGCAAGAAGCTCCTCTATTCGCTGGAGTGCCGCTCGCGTCTGGTCCAGGTCAGTGTGTAACTCTGTAATTTTCTGTACGGAATTATCACCGTTTTCCTCCATTTGGCGATTTATAGGAAGATTTGCGACGAAAACAAATGAATTTCAGGCGCTGGTCATCTTACTGTGAGTTGAGTTGACTGCAGAAATGACGAGGGCTGATTCTGTAGGTCGCGTTATTCTCCCTTAGTCGAAATTCGCGTCTGATCTCGGCCGTTGAGAAGAAATTCGATCCGACGCTCCAAACTCCAACTTTTTATGGCGAAATTCTCAGGGCCGTTGAGATTCGAATCGATCCGACGGTCGAAATTCCAACTTTTTCGCTACTGGACCGGAGGAGTGTTCAAAAACCGGTTCGAGGGGGACGTTAGAAAATAGCGCAGAACTGGTTTTACATACCCGTATCGGCGCTTTCGTTGTCGCCCCCGCGGTTTTTTAAAGGCCGGATCTAAGCGGTTGAAGACCTCGCGTGTAAACCCGCTCTGATTACCAAGTGTGAGGATCTAGGATCGAGCTCAGAAAAGAGAATGTAATTGAATGGAATTGAATCGAATTGAATGATCACCTGGGTACAACACGAGGCTATATATAGGCTCGACACAAAGCCCCGTAACCAGGTGTTATGCGAAGGTTCCGAGGGTCGCGTAGCGTCCCGAACAGATCCTTACCGAATTCGGTAGAAGGCAATTCGGTGGCAACCGAAAAGGCCAGAATTCGGTGCACGCAACCTAGCTCGGTGTTATAACTATAATAAAATATAGGAAAGCACCTAGCCTATGAAATCAAGCAATTCATGCATGCATATGATTATCCTATGCTAGAAATAGCATAATAAAGTAGAGGCAAGCAAGCATAGCTGGCATAAGCCGTCGTACTCTCACAGATAGCCCCATATCCCCCCCGCGATAGCCCCATGTTTCCCCCATGCTAACCTCATGTTTCCAAGCCTGGGTTATGAGTGCATCGCTGCACCAAGCAGCATGTGGAGTGCTCACCAGCAAAGGAACCACTCTTACTCACCTTTGTTGTCACATCCTCTTTTCCCACCCTACGCTTCCCTTCCAAGGTGCCAAGGTGAGTGCATTGCTGCGAACAGCAACGTGTGGAGTACTCACCAGCAAGGGAACCTGGTTCCTGACCACACTCTTACTCAGCCACTCACATCCTCTTTTCCCTCCCTCCCCTTCCCTTCCAAGGTGCCAAGGTGAGTGCATCGCTGCGAACAACAACGTGTGGAGTACTCACCAGCAAGGGAACCTGGTTCCTGACCACACTCTTACTCACCCACTCACAGCCTGTTTTCCCTCCCTCCCCTTCCCTTCCAATGTTGGGTGGTGAGTGCATCGCTACACACAGCAACGTGAGGAGTGCTCAACAGCAAAGGGACCTCCTTGCCAGAACACTCTTACTCACCTTCGCCACTCACATCCTTGTTTCCCTCCCTCCCCTTCCCCTCCAAGGCACCGTGGTGAGGGCATCGTTGCGAACAGTAGTGTGTGAAGTGCACGCCAGCAAAGGAACCTCCGTCCATAACACTCTTACGCAAATTCACATGTCACATCCTCTTTTCCCTCTCTCTCCTTCCCTCTCATGGTTGGGTGGTGAGTGCATCGCTGCTCTCAGCAGCAATTGGAGTGCTCACCAGCATGGGAACCTATCAGCCCGCACAATCTTACTTGCCTTTTCTCGTCACATCCTCGTTTCCCTTTGTCCCCCTCCCTTCCCAGACTGGGCGGTGAGTGCATCGCTGCTCATCTTAGCGTTTTTCCCCTGCCCTCACGTTCATATTTCCCCCCTAATAGCCCCATATTCCCCCCGTTCTAGCCCAATCTGTACCCAATGTTAGCCCCTCGTTACAAGACCTCCAGCCCCATGTTTCTCCCCTGCCAGCCCTAAATTACCCAGTGAAAGCCCCATATTTCCCCCAGGGCTGCCCCATTTCCCCCCCCCATGGTAGCCTCATGTTTCCCCCTTGCTGCGGGCCCCATGTTTGCCCCAAGCTAGCCCCATGTTATCCCCCTGCAGGCCTCTCGCTTCCCCCATGCCGGACTCATTTCTTCCCCCTGATAACCCCATGTTCTCCCCGTAATAGTCGGATGTTTCCTCGCTGCCAGCCCCGTGTTTCCCCCCATGCTAGGCACACAAGGTGCTAGCCCCACATTTAGAAGGCTGGGTAGTCAGTGCATCGCTGCTCCCAGCAGCGTTGCGAGCACTCAACAACAAAGGAGCCTCACAGCCCTCACACTCTTACTGGCCTTCCCTTGTCACATCCTCGCCTCCCTCCCTCCCCTCTGCCTTCCCAGGCCGGTTGGTCAGTGCATGAAAGCAACAAAGGAACCTCACAGCCCTCACACGAGAGCTGTTTCCTCCCATGGTATCCCCATGTTTCCTCCCATGGTTGCCCCCTATTTCCTCCCATGGTAACCCCCTTTTTATCCCCATGCTAGCCCCATGTTTCCCCCCTACTGCAGGCCCAATGTTAACCCCGAGCTATGTTTCCCCCTACTGCTTGCCCCATATATCCCTCGTGCTAAGTTTCCCCCTATTGCTTGCCCCATGTTCCCCCTCTGCTAGCCCCATGTTACCCCCATGCTAGCCCCATGTTACCCCCCTACTGCTAACCCCATGTTTCCCCCCTGCTATCCCCACGTTTTGCCCCTATTTGCCCCGTGTTTAGGTGCAGGCTAGCTTGCACACATACACCTAAGGCACAACTCCCTCACGCAAGGCGCCACGTCCGCGAAGGCAAAGAGGACAAAACCAACTATTTTGCACGAGGTGAGACAGCGGTCTTCCTCCCTACCCTGTCCTGCCGTTTCACCCCTGCCCTTCCCCTTCTTCCTTGCCATTCCCCTGCCACCATTCACTACCTGCTGCGCTTTTCCTTCAGTCCAACTCCAAACCTGCCCTGCATTCCCCCCCACTGCGCTTGCCTCCCTTCCGACCCTGCCCTCCCTTCCCCCTTATCATGCCATAAGGTACCCCCTTGCTGGCCCTCCCTTCCCTGCCCTCCCTTCCCCCTCATCATGCCATAAGGTACCCCCTGCTAGCCCCCTCTTACCTCTTATTGCCTGCCATGGGTATCCACCCTACTAACCATCCCTACCCCATCATCATGCCCGTGTAAGCCCCCTACTAGGCCTCCCTCCACCCTCATCATGGGGACAGTTTCCCCCTGCAAGCCCACCCTCTCCCGTCATTATGCCATCGCTAGCTAGCCCTCTCCCATGCGGTGGGCTTGCCTCATCCCAATTGCGGGCCCACCGCAATCAAAGGGGCTGGCCAGCCTCTCCCACGCGGTGGGCTCGCCTCATCCCAATTGCGGGCCCACCGCAATCAAAGGGCCTGTCCAGCCCCCTCCCATGCGGTGGGCTCGGCCCATTCGATATTGGCACCGGTAACAAGGTTGATAATAATCAATTTGGGTGCCTGATGTGCAGAATGGGTCGTTCGAGAAAGATCTCCTCCGCAACATGGAGATCAAGGGTAAAAGAGATTGTAAATGGCAAGGACCAAGCAAGCCTCGCGATATCGAAGACGACGCAAATTCCAATTTGTTACTTGCGGTGTGGCCTGAGCTCGCTGATGGGTGAGGGTCGAACCGCGACAGTGTCCGACTTGGTGTACTTCCTTTTGCACGCTGGGCCGGGGGCAAAAGATGCTCTCGTGATGGCAGCAAAAAAAACTGGTGAGTGGAGTATTTCTATGCCCTGGTGTTTTAGAGTTTGTTTGAGTGAACCCATCCCCCACCTGTACAAGGGGAACGCATGTTGCCGACACTCAGTTTGTCATTACACCCTAGCTCTGATGTGTTTCTGCACGATGAAGCCCTTTTCACCAGCACATAGTAGATACTAAGAAGATACGGTATCACCGTTTTTTTCTGCGTGTACAATTGGCTTCAATGCTGACTGAAAATATAAATAGAATATGGATACAGGGCATGCAAGGATCACTAGCAGTTTTCAAAGGCTGGCTGTTACAACATCATCTGTATAGAGAATCAATGTGGTAGGGGAAGTGGATATACACTCATTGAACCACTTTATTGCCTTGCTCTCATCCTTTCTCCAGACCTGTGGGGAAGGTTAGCGGGCCAGTTTTCGCTTGGGGGCTTATGGCTCCTATGTGGCCGGAATGACGTGTTACGATGCCCTTCTTGTTCATATTTTTCCGGTCCAGAGTGGCGTCTTCGAAAATCGTGTCAGCGCTCTCCAGCCACGTGCGACGGACGGCTACGCGATCTCAAGCTTGAACTGACCGATCGACTCACTGCGACCCTTCGTCATCCCCAAGATAGACCCCGTCAGCTTGGCTCGTGGAATCCGAGTCTCGACCGCAAATGAGAATACACAGCCACCCGAGCCTCCTGAGTGGTTCGGCATGACACCACCGCTGTTTCCTCGTCCGGCTGGTTAGCCTTGCGCGCTGAGTTGAGCCACCCACCTGGACGCCTCCATCCGCCTTATCCACATTCCACAACCTCCCACCTTGAGAGTTTCCAAGTTCCAGACTAACCATCCCAGCAATCTAACAAACCCACTCTGAGCCAACCCAACCATTTTCAACCCATGCATAAATCATGATCCATAAACACCAAACCATGATCCCAAGGTTTCTTCCACACCATTCATGCTACTCATCCTGTTTCCCTATCGCCCACTGCCAGCCACCTTCAGATAGAGGAATATCCAGGACAATTAATCCAACTGAATTGACCATTTCCCACTAACGGTTATTCCTGCTAGATCGCTCTGTCATTGCCGTCAGTTTTCAGAAGCAGGAAATCGTTGCTCTGCGTGACCGAAGGAGCGATCGTGGGATCAAGCGCTACCCATCACCATGCAGACCGCCACGTCACCGTCCCTTCTTCTCCCACACGCGGCGTCGGCCGTCGCCTCGCCATGGACCGCGACCAGGCCAGCCGGCGCAGCTGCTGCCCAGCAATGGCCAGCTCTTAAGTGCCACGTGAACGGTCGAGATCGATCCGTGCGCGTGCAAGCGGATAAGGCGGCGCGAGGGCCGATAGGGGAGTTCGGGGAGCGCGTGATGGTGGGCGACGCGGGGGAGGAGGAGCAGGCGGGCGACGAGGAGATGGCGATCAAGCTGGAGTGCGACGAGAGCGGCTGCGTTCTCGTCGTCGGTCGCAACGTACCGAACCTCGATGACGACTCGCAGGGTTACCTGCAATGTAACCTCACAGGTGCGTCCAAACTAACGCGACGCCCCACTTCAGCGCAAATGGTTAATTTAACAGCACTCAAGGGATGGGTGTCGAATTGCGTCATTTGTCAAGATGTCAACGCATTTTCGATGGATCGAAAGCGGCATCCTTCTGTTCCACTGCCATTGGGCTCGCAAGGAAAATGTTTGCACATCGAGTCAGCACTTCAGCGATGCCGCTTCCAGGTTCCAACATCTCGCTGTTACGTTCACGCACAGCAGCTTGCACAATTCCGCTCGTTAGTTACCATTCTATGTTTTTTTTTCGAGCTCTCGCAACTCCCGCTCTGCTCTGATCTCGTCGCGATTCACTCCTTTCTTAATATCCTCTTCTCTCTCTCTCACCCTGTCTCTCTCTCCCCTCAATTCCGTTATCGCCGGCAATTGGTTCCAATGGCTTGCGCGGCATCACTCATCAACGCCGGTCGCGCCACGCCACGGCAGGGTGTTTCTATGACAGCGCGGCGCCGGTGGCGGAGTTCCGCGTGCTGGAGGGCGCGGGGTGGCGTCTGGGCTACGAGACGGCGCCCGCCAACGAGGAGGCCTTCTGCGCCATGGTGAGCCCCCTCGACCCCCCTCCAACCTTCCCCTCTTCCCCACAACCCCCCTCTGCGCGTGCTGGACAGCGCGGGGTGGCGCCTGGGCTACGAGACGGCTCCCGCCAACGAGGAGGCCTTCTGTGCCATGGTGAGCCGCCTGATCGCCCATGTTGCCATGCTGCCGCCGTACCCATCGCCTGTGCTGTTGAATTGCCGCCATGCAGGGCGAATTGGCGCGCTGCACGGCTTGGCGCGCTGCACGGCCTCGCGCGCTGCATGGCTTGGCGAGCTTACATGCCGATTGCTTCTTTCCGCCCACGGTTCGCAGGCGTGCTGCCGGCTTATCCGCATGTGGCCGGGGTTTCTGTTTCTTTGTATGATTCGCTGCTCTCCCGTGCTGCCCCGTCTGTCTGGTCCGTCGCGTCTCCCGCATGCGTGCTGACCCCCTCTCCCGCAATCCCCAACCGTGCATCCTCCCCACCCCCTGGCTTGCGGTGGCTGGCAGGTGGGCGCAGGCGGGTGGAGCGTGGCGCTGACGGCGTCGGAGTTCAACGACTTCTGCAAGCTCGTGCAGGTGCGCGCCTACATCTGTGCCTTGCTATTTTCGAGTTGACTTTCATCAGTTCAGCACACGCTAATCTGAGATAATTAAGAAATTCTCCGAGGTTGTGCAAGAGCGCGCATTGAAGCGTGGTTTATGCTGTTTTCCCATACGCAGCCATGCATGAGTTTCGCAAATTTCCACGTCGGAGCGACCCGCAACCGCCTTAGGGCGTGTTTCCTTTGAGTTGCCAGTCGTCTTCTCATCACCTTAACGAGGCAATTCGTTGATCCATGGCTTCCGATCCACGTGCGCTCGCCCTGTCCCGTGCATGCGTGCAGATGCTGCGCAAGGGGCTGATCACGATGGACCAGGACGGCGTGCTCAACCGAGATGACATCGTGATGCAGGTGAGGTCACGTCGTCGTGTGGGCGAGCTGACTTGATCATGTGGTTGAAATGACATGGTTGAGCAAGGGGCTGATCACCATGGACCAGGACGGCGTGCTCAACCGAGATGACATCGGCATGCAGGTGAGATGGCATGGCCATGGTCATGTGGGTGAGACGACATCGTCAGGCACGTGAGGTGACATGGTCATGTGGGTGAGATGACATCGTCAGGCACGTGAGGTGATATGGTCATATTGGTGTGATACATGGTCATGCACGTGAAATGACATGGTCATACAGGTGTGATAGATGGCATGCACGTGAGGTGGCATGCACGTGAGGTGGCATGCTACTGCACGTGAGCTGATGGTGGGATGCATTTGCACAATGTCAAGCCAAATTATGGACAATCAATGGCCTGTTGCCGGCGATTGAATCGTTGTTCCATATCCCGGTTCCAACCCCCTCGCTCTCTCTCACTCTCTTCCTTGCTTTCTCTCTGGCGTGCTGCTATCCCTGTTCATATCATCATGTGTGCTGATGTGCCTGACTCATGGTTGTGGTGCACTCTGGATGGTGCGTTATGGATGGTGCATGGGACGTGGGGCCATGATGCATGGTGGATGGGACGTGGGGCATGATGCATGGTGCATGGCATCAGGTGGAGCTCGGCAATCTATGGATGGAGTGTGTGGTGGCACGGCAAACATTGCCCACACTGCAGCGGTTCCTCAAGGTACGCCACACCCCACACCGCTTGCTGCTTTCATTCGCATCACAACACGATCACTGCAAGTGTGCAATGCAGACTTTGAGTTATGTGGTGTGTGAAAACATGTGGCCTTTCAAGCCCAGCGTTGTCATCATCCCACCTAACTGTCCTGCCACAACGGCGCCCATCCCTAGCTTCACTGTCGCCTGAACAGAGAAGCGTGAGCATGTGGCGTGGATGGCTTAGCATTGCGGTGTACAGAGGCAGTGATATGCGAATTCATGAAGCGCTGGGGTGTGTGGTTTGTGTGTGTGCAGATGGGAGGGAGGCCCACTGGAGCAGCCTTTGCCATTCGCTTCATTCTCTCAGGCACCGATTCCAAACGCCAGGTAAGTTCCTTGGCCACTGTACTCGTCTCTTCCCAATGGCTACTGCAAAAAGAGACACATTGTTACTTCAACCACTACGTCTCACGTCAATATGTCCGTCCGTCCACCCCAACCTTCTCTTGCCTCTGCTCTAATCACTGCTCCCTCTGTGTGCTCTTCTCTGCCTGCATGTCATGCCATGCAACCCCGCCCCACCCCACCAGGCGGAGGGTTTCTGGCCAGCGGAGGCGGTGATGGACATGCTAGCCAAGATGGACGAGCTCTCATCGCCTGCACAGCCCAACTCCTCTAGCAAGCAAGCAGAAGCAGTCACCGCCTGAGCGGCGGCTAATTTGTCGACATAAATAGATTATTGCACTAGTTCTCTGAAATCAATCACCATTTATTTCGGAGATGTATGGATGTTTGTGTGCAGAATCCCACATCCAGCAGTGGGTGCTAGGAGGTCGATGTTTGTGAGCATGCCATTGGCTCCTGCACGCTCCCATGTAAATGGGGCTTATGCCAATAATGCTCGTGTTAGCAATTGAAAGATGTTCGCATTTGAGTCTCCATTGTCCAAGTATTGTTGAAATTATGGCAAGAGAGTTTTGCAAAAGTGAAGATAACTGAATGTGGATTGTACGGTGATGCATTTGAATAAGGATCAAGGTTTGACCGAGGCTTGAAGCGGCTGCTGATTGTGTGGAGCACAACGGCGGCCGTCAAACTGGTTGAGGTGGCGCGAAACGGTTGGTGTGACTCGACTGCCAAGTAATTTCGGGCAGCACCTTTCTTCCAAACGGCTTCCGTTACTCTCTCTTCACCCTCCGATACAAACTAGCCCATATCCTACGGCTGTCTCGATCGCCCTCACCTGCAGGAGTTTTCTAGGTTAATGCACGTGACACACGTCAGTTTGGCAAAGCGAGGCTGGCTGGGCTGGATCTGTTGGCGGGAGCAAGAAATCTCGCGCCTCGTGAACGCGGAAGGTTCTCCACCACCCCGCTACAGCACAGCTGGACTGCGCGGGCCTGATCATCTGCGGCGCAAACGGAAAACCCCAGTTTGGCGAGCGTCCGTTTGTGTCACGCTGGGCCTGGGGTTTGCCTGGCCTCGAGCTTCGCTGGACCTGGGGGGTTGCCTGCGCAGTGTTGGGGTTTGCTGAGCGTTGAGGTTGAGGCCTGCCCGGCATGGGGTTGCGCAATGACGAACCAGACTTGAGGGAAGCAGGTGGATGAGCGTCAAGGTAATTCCAGTCGCTAGGAGAACGCGATTGATGACGGTAGCATGACCAATCCCAACGCACAGGCAAGCAAGAAGAGTTACAGGCCTGGTCGGTTTGATTGTTTTCGAATGGGTTGAGTTAGGTTCCTTGATCACAGCCTCTAGTGATGGTAGTCCAGGTCAGATGGGCGAGGGTGGGGAAGGAACCAGTCAAGGCACGCTTGTAGACGAGACGGCTGTTGATGATTAGGGAAGCCCGACGTTCTTTTTTGAGGTACATGCCAACCAAATCTTGTCCTTTTTGTTTTTTTTCGTTCGACGAATAATAAAGCCAGCTGCTACACCTCTTAATTTTTTGCCAGGGCAGCAACCGCTGGTCATAGCGTATCCTTCTTGTAGGCCGTCTCAGCAGCTTCGCATGGCAGGCCCGACAAGTGCTAGCGGGGGAGGAAACACGATTGGTCGAGGCGGGGAATTGTCGAGTCGTCGAGTGGTCGGCGTAGGTCCCACGTCGCAGCGCGAATCGCGAGGAATGGGAATGGACGGCGCTAGGGATAGTAGGGATGATCGTCGTGTGAGTGGGTGGAGGAGCAGTGAAGCGGGTCAAGCGGGGGAAGGGAGGGAAAAGAAGCGCGTGTCGCGGGTGGTGCGGACGGCGTGGGTCCAATGCGACGACGTTAAGTGCAAGAAATGGCGCCGAGTGCCGATGCAAATTGCACGAGCCATGAGCAGCAGCGAGGCGAGATGGTTTGTGAATTGGGAAATAAAATTACAATGCTGGGTCGGTTGAGTAAGCCTAAGCAGCCTGAGCCATCTCATCGGAGAAATGTCCTCTTGCCAATCCCTGCCGGCCTCGTGCCGCTCGCCGCGTACTCTCGTCCCGTCCGTATCTCCCCGTGCTTCCCGCGTTAGGGTTTTGTGTTAGGCTCCACGCCTCCATGTGCTCCGCCGCAGCTCGCAGCCTCAACACTGCCTTGTCCTACGCAGCAGAGCCGTTTTCGCAGTCTTACATTTGTTATAAGAGGTTCAATCTCCTCCCTGCCATACCAAGCATTCTATCTATCATCCGTGACGTGATCACTGCGTTTGATGACGTGTTATCCACAAGCCCTAAAAACGGCCGTAGTTACCCTTGCGCTCACCTACCGTCCCGTTCGTTCCGCCACTTACATCGCTCTCCGCTCTTGTCGCCCCCATTCCCCATCGTCGCTCCTCCCCGCCGGTCCCCGACATTGTCGCAGGTTTTGTCGCATGAATCCTGATCCTGCCTTCGCCAGCTGTCGCGTTCCGCAGGAAAGCGACGACGCGAACGACAACGGCGATGCGGACGATGACGACGAAGCGGAACAGGACACGCGGGGGAGAGACGGCGCAGGGGGGAGTAACAGCAGGAGCGAGAGGGACGTGGGCGCGCGGAAAGAGCAGGGCGGGGGGGAAGGAAGGGGGAATGGGGAAGTAGCGGAGGGCGGCGGGGGCGGGGCGGCGGAGTGGAGCAGCGCAAGCGAGTGCAGCAGCGAGTGCAGCGACGGCGACGGCAGCGTCGCCATCCAGTTTTCCGACTCCGACGACGACCCCTACCCGGGGGACGACGACGCGCAGTGCGCGCCGTGGCGGGGCGCGGATAGCGCGCCCGGGAGGCGCGGAGGGGAGGTGCCGTGGTGGCAGTGGGGGAGCAGCGGGAACGGCCGGCTTGGGGGAGGCGCGTTAGGGCGGGGGAAGGCGGGGGCTGGGAGGGGAGGGGGGAGAGGCGCGGGAAGGGTGGGCGGAAGTTGGGGTGCGGTTATGGGGGGACTGGGGAAGCCCGCGGTGCCTCCACCTCGCCTCGTGGGTGAGTCCGCCTGTTCTTGCGCTTGCGCGTATCATGCACCCCACGTCCGGCCCTCTTCCCATCCAACATTTCCACCCGTCTTCCCCCACCTCTTATGAGTGTTGAACGATCGCCTGACCTTTGGGCGCGTGTTTCGTTCCCACGCGTGTGTGTCGTTCCCCGTGGGCGTGGCGTGCGCAGGGTCGGGCAAGCGCGCGTGGATCCGCATCGTGGAGAACGAGTACCTGCACCGCCGCCCCAAGCTGCAGCGGACCGACGAGGTGAGCGGGGGAGCGGGCGCGCTGGCAGCGGGGGAGGGTGGAGGGTGGAGGGTGGAGTGTGAAGGGTGGGTGGAGGGGGAGGGGAAGGTAGGATGGAGTGGAAAATGGGCGACATTCAGTGGGGGAGAGGATGAGGCAGAATGGGAAACACGCAAGGGAGAAATGCAGGGACTCAGAAAGGCGAGGTAGGGTGAAGGAATGGAAAGAGGCATGTCACGGGTCCCACGACTTCCAGATTTCTCCAATCCACACGCTCTTCACTTCCCCGGCTGGCCCCTTCCCCGCCCTCCACTCAACAGGTGTTGGTGTGCCAGTGCGTGCCGCCGCCGCCCGGGCGGCGAGAGAAGGGGTGTGGGGAGGCGTGTTTGAACCGCCTGGTCAGCATCGAGTGCCAGCCCAAGCTCTGCCCCTGCGGCGCTGCCTGTGCCAACCAGCAGGTGAGCGCTCTCATGCGGTGCAGTGCGGTACAGCGTGGTGACTTTTTGAGTCGACTCAGTAGACTCAAGAGAGGGGATGCGGGGAGGCGTGTTTGAACCGCCTGGTCAGCATCGGGTGCGTGGTGACTTTTGAGTCGACTCAGTAGACTTAAGAGAGGGGATGCGGGGAGGCGTGTTTGAACCGCCTGGTCAGCATCGAGTGCCAGCCCAAGCTCTGCCCCTGCGGCGCTGCCTGCGCCAACCAGCAGGTGAGCGCTCTCATGCGGTGCAGTGTGGTGCAGCGTGGTGACCTTTGGGTCGACTCAAAAGACTCAAGAGAGGGGATGCGGGGAGGCGTATTTGAACCGCCTGGTGCGGCACTGCCTGCGGCAACCAACAGGTCAGCGCTCTCATGCAGTGCACTTCGGTGCTCTCGCCACCACCCACACACCAGTTCCCGCCCCGTGTCCCTTGTCCCTGCCCCATGCCACTCTTCGTTGCCCCCTTCCGTCGTCTCCGTCCCTTCCCTCTCTCCCCCTCACATTCCCCTCCCTCTTGGCGCCTCTCCCCACATTCTCCGCCCCAACAGTTCCAGCAGCGGCGGTACGTGAAGGTGGAGATAGCGCGCTACGGCCGCAAGGGATACGGCGTGCGGGCGCGGCAGGCAGTAGCAGCGGGGCAGTTCATAGTGGAGTACGTGGGGGAGGTGCTCAACCGCAAGGCGTTTGCTGTACGCCTGGAGGAGTACAGGCGCGCCAAGCAGCGCCACTACTACTTCATGACTCTCAACAACAGCGAGGTATGCTGTGCGCTCCTCAAGTCTTGTAGGTGGCTTGAGAGCTTGTAGCAACCGAGTAGAGACCCGCCAAGCAGCGCCACTACTACTTCATGACCCTCAACAACAGCGAAGTACAAAACGCGCCCCTGCGAGTTGTAGCAGGCGGTTTGTGAGAAAAATATGGAATCCGAGTGCGGGTGTGCCAAGCAGCAGCACCGGTGTTAGATGACAGTCAGCAACTGTGCGGTAGGCACCGTTGCTAGCCAAGCCTTCATTTCATGCGCCACCTCCTGCTGACATATGCCCCTCCGGCACCCCATGCACCTCCTCCTCCCCTTCCCCCCCCTTTCATGCGCCTATGCCCGCCATGCCTTCCCCCTGCGCACACGGGCAGGTGATAGACGCATGCCGCAAGGGCAACTTCTCGCGCTTCCTCAACCACAGCTGCGAGCCCAACTGCTGTCTTGAGAAGGTGCGTGCTCACTGATTGGGCTGATTGGATCGACTGGGTTGGCATGTGCGTGGGCTGACACAGGGTTGAGGCCGTGCAGATGGACTGCTTGCCTGCCAGCCTGCCCTGCCTGCTTCCCATCGCATCTTGCCTGCTTCCCATCGCATCTTGCCTGCGCTCACATCTGCATGCGCCACCATCTTCATCCTCATCACCCACGCCCTCTCATCACCTCTCCCGTCCTCTCAACTCCCGTTCCCCCCACCACTCATGCCTGTCCCCATCGCCCTGTTGCCTCTCACCGCCGTGTGGGGCTGCAGTGGATGGTGCGGGGCGAGCTGCGCATTGGGCTCTTCTCACCTCTCCTGTCCTCTCCTCTGCTGTCTCCCCCACAATTCGTGTCTGTCCCCATCGTCCTGTCGTCTCTCACCCCCGTGTGTCACCTGCAGTGGAAGGTGCGGGGCGAGCTGCGCATTGGGCTCTTCTCACCTCTCCTGTCCTCTCCTCTGCTGTCTCCCCCACAATTCGTGTCTGTCCCCATCGTCCTGTCGTCTCTCACCCCCGTGTGTCACCTGCAGTGGATGGTGCGGGGCGAGCTGCGAATTGGGCTCTTCTCACCTCTCCTGTCCTCTCCTCTGCTGTCTCCCCCACAATTCGTGTCTGTCCCCATCGTCCTGTCGTCTCTCACCCCCGTGTGTCACCTGCAGTGGATGGTGCGGGGCGAGCTGCGAATTGGGCTCTTCTCACCTCTCCTGTCCTCTCCTCTGCTGTCTCCCCCACAATTCGTGTCTGTCCCCATCGTCCTGTCGTCTCTCACCCCCGTGTGTCACCTGCAGTGGAAGGTGCGGGGCGAGCTGCGAATTGGGCTCTTCTCACCTCTCCTGTCCTCTCCTCTGCTGTCTCCCCCACAATTCGTGTCTGTCCCCATCGTCCTGTCGTCTCTCACCCCCGTGTGTCACCTGCAGTGGATGGTGCGGGGCGAGCTGCGAATTGGGCTCTTCTCACCTCTCCTGTCCTCTCCTCTGCTGTCTCCCCCACAATTCGTGTCTGTCCCCATCGTCCTGTCGTCTCTCACCCCCGTGTGTCACCTGCAGTGGAAGGTGCGGGGCGAGCTGCGCATTGGGCTCTTCTCACCTCTCCTGTCCTCTCCTCTGCTGTCTCCCCCACAATTCGTGTCTGTCCCCATCGTCCTGTCGTCTCTCACCCCCGTGTGTCACCTGCAGTGGATGGTGCGGGGCGAGCTGCGCATTGGGCTCTTCTCCCTGCGCCCCATCAAAGCGGTGAGACCCCTCCTCCCCGACCCTCCCCCTGTCCCTGCCCCTGCTCCTGCTCCTGCCCCTGCCTCTTCCCCTGCCCCTGCTCCTGCTCCTGCCCCTGCTCCTGCCCCTGCCCCTGCTCCTGCTCCTGCCCCTGCTCCTGCTCCTGCCCCTGCTCCTGCTCCTGCCCCTGCTCCTGCCCCTGCCCCTGCTTCTGCTCCTGCCCCTGCTCCTGCCCCTGCCCCTGCCCCTGCCCCTGCTCCTGCCCCTGCCCCTGCTCCTGCTCCTGCCCCTGCTCCTGCTCCTGCCCCTGCTCCTGCCCCTGCCCCTGCTCCTGCTCCTGCCCCTGCCTCTTCCCCTGTCCCTGCTCCTGCCCCTGCCCCTGCTCCTGCTCCTGCCCCTGCCCCTGCTCCTGCTCCTGCCTCTTCCCCTGTCCCTGCTCCTGCCGCTGACATGTACTTGCGCGCCTTCGTCTCCTCGTCGCTTTCAACTTCCCCGTTGACTCACCGCAAGAACTCCGACCTCAATTATGGCGAGGAGCTATCATTTAAGAGCGCTTTGTGGGCGGTTTTATAGCCCGCCTCAAGCATTGCCCCCCCTCCTCCCCCAACCCACATGTCCCCTCCCTCCCTCCCTCTCCCCTCCCTCCTCCCCCCCCCCTCTTTCCCCACCTTTTTCTATGCTCTCCTCCCCTCAGGGCGAGGAGCTGTCATTCGACTACAACTACGAGCGCTTTGTGGGGGCGCGCCCCACGCGCTGCTACTGAGGCAGCCACCTTTCCCTCACTCCTTTTCCACCCTCCTTCCCGGCTCTCCTCCCGCTCTCTGCAGGGCGAGGAGCTGTCGTTTGATTACAACTACGAGCGCTTTGTGGGGGCGCGCCCCACGCGCTGCTACTGCGGCAGCCTGTCCTGCCGCGGCGTGCTGGGCGGCGCTGAGCTCAAGAAGCCACGCGTGCGCCCTGCTGTGCAGCGAGCTGTGGCCGAGGAGGTGGATGAGGAGGAGGAGGAAGAGGAGGATGAGGAAGAAGTCGGAGGGAGAGAAGGGGAGGAGAGGGAGGGGCAGCAGATGGTGATTAGTGAGAGAACGATTGGGCTGGGCAGGGAGTGTGAGGCGGAGGAGGAGGGATCAGAGAGTGAGAGTGATGATGGGAGTGAGAGTGAGAGTGAGAGTGGGAGTGAGGGTGAGAGTGAGAGCGAGTCGGGGAGTGAGAGTGAGTGGGAGGAGGTGTACGGGTCAGGGGAGGGGAGCGAGGAGGAGGGAGCAGAGGAGTACGGGTGCAGGCGGGAGGGCATGCATATGGGTGAGGGGGGAAGGCATGGAGAGGAGGGGAGAGAGGGCAGTGGGTGTGCGCGCCTGGCCTGGGAGGGCAAGCGGGCGAGGTCCCGCCTGGCCCTCCCCCAACCCAGGTCGCTCCGCCCTGCGCCCTCCCCCTGGCTCCTCTCCTCCCCGCGCTCCCCCCCCGCCCATGCGCGCCCCCTCCCATCCCCCTCTGCGCGGTCTGGGTCTCTTCAGGGAGGGAGGGCTGCAGGGCGCGAGGGGAGAAGCGTGCAGGGGGGCGCGGGAGAGCAGGGACCAAGACATGGCCGGGGGACGCAGCAGGGGGAGAGGGAGGGGCGGGGCGGGCAGGACGAGGGGGAGGGGGAGCGGGTGTGGTTGGAAGGGGGCGAATGGGAAGGGGATGGGGAACGGGAAGGGGAGGGGGAGGGGGAAGCATGTGTGGAGGACGGGGAGGGGGGCATGCGGCATGCCAAGAGGCGGAGGCTGCGGAAGGTGGCAGGTCTGGGTGAGAGGGTGTGGCGGCAGGGCGGGGAGAGGGAGGACGGGAGCAGGGAGGCGTGGGGGGGCGAGGAGAGCGGGGCACATGGGCATGGGTTTGACCTGGTGGCGGAAGCAGCAGGGGGGGGAGCGGGGGCGGGGGAGGTGCAGGCAGCGCCAGCGGAGTATGTGGTAGCGGCGTGCCAGGGGGTGCTGTTCCACTCCGATGGTGAGCTGCTCTGCTGCTGCTGCCTGTGCTATGGTGCCATGTGCTACCCTGTGCTGAGTGTTTGCCCCTTGCATTGCCTAAGCTGAGTGTGTGGTAGCGGCGTGCCAGGGGGTGCTGTTCCACTCCGATGGTGAGCTGCTCTGCTGCCCGCACTGGCATGTGCTGCCGTGTGCTGGCCCATGCTGTATTTGTGGAACTATACATTACCGTACACCTCCAGCCATGCACCCAGCCATGCACCCAGCCATGCATCCAGCCATGCACCCAGCCATGCACCCAGCCATGCACCCAGCCATGCACCCAGCCATGCACCCAGCCATGCACCCAGCCATGCATCTTCCCATGCACCTCACCCATGCATTTCATCCGTCCCTCACACATTACCCATGCACCTCCCCATGTGTGTGTGTGCCTGTGTGTGCAGTGGAGGAGGCGTTGGAGCTGCTACTGGACGGCAACGATGCGCTCATCAAGGGCAAGGTGGGCTGCCCTTCACGCACTCTCTCTCCCGCTCTCGTTCCTCCTCTTCTCCCTCGCTTTCTCCGCCCCTTTCTCCTTCTCCTTCCCGCTCAATTTCACCGGCAAGCCATGCCTTGGGCAAGCCATGCCTTGGGCAAGCCATGCGTCCTTGTTGGACTCTGAACTCGCGCACCACAGCAACCCCGCGCGCTGTGCACAAACAAAAAATCACTGCACAACTCCATACCCTTCCCTTCACTCCCTGTTTTCAACCTCACTCCCCTTTTTCTCCCTTTGCTTCTCTTCCTCCTCAACTCGCCCCACCCTTCCCCCCCATGGCGTGCAGAGCACGGCGCGTTCCTTCGTGCGGCTGCTAATGCGGGCCACCTCCTGTGGAGACTTCTCCTCGGGTGTGCCCAACTTCAGGTGGGTGGGCCTTGAGCCGTGGCAGGTGGTGGCTGTGGGGCGTGTGGTGGGGTATGCTGGTGGGTTATGGTGGTGGGTGGTGACGTCATGGTATGCCTTACTCCCAGCATCCATGCATGTGTGCCAGGCGTCTGTCATGCTTGCATGCTATGCACTTCACCTGACTTCTAGCGTCCTGGGACTGGCTGGCATGCCTGTTCTTTTTATCACCGCTGCACACCACAACCCATGTGCATGTGTGTGCATGTGTGTGCATGTGTGGGCATGTGTGTGCATGTGTGTGCATGGCTGCTTTGCGTGCCCCCCATGCAGTGCCAAGGAGGTGTCGCTGCTGCTGGAGGCGCTGCTCCGCACCTCATCAAGAACGCTCCTCAAACACATCATTGCCACCAACGGTAGGTCTGCTCGTCCCTTCGCTTAGGCACCTCAAAATAGGCATTGCTCTGCACATAATCAAGGGCGCTCCTCAAACATATCATCATAACATGATGGTGGGTCTGCGCGTTCCTCTTCTTGAGGCACCTTGAACGAGCCAATGCTGCACAACCCGACAAGGCCGTCCTCAATCATTTCATCGCACCATCACCAGCACTGCTGCGCGCACATAGTCCAGACCGATGCCAGCTTCTACCTTTCTCCCTCGCTCTCTCCCTATCTTTCCCATGCTCCCTCTCCCCCATTCCCCTCCATTCCCCCAGGGCTGAACGTGCTCCAGATATTGGGGCGCAAGCTGCAGCACGAGAGGGAGCGAGTGGCCATTCTGAGGAAGCTGCTGCGAGTGGCACACCACCTGCACGCCACTGCTGCCCTCTCCCTGCAGGCCGCTCATGCCGTCCCGCCCACCGCCAATGAGAGGTGCGCATGCCATCCTTCTTTATCCCTCCTTGCTCTTCCATGCTGCATGGAGTAATCAGAGTCCATGCTCACGTCCATTCTTACATCCATTCTCATGCTGCTCCACCACCACTCCCCTTCCTGCACTCCCACTCATCACTCCCCCCCCGGGCCTTGCCTTTGCCTCCCATGCCCCACATGCACACTCCCCCCTTACCCCCCACAGCTTCTCCGCGCTGATAGGCACAGGGACGCGGAGGTGCAGGGCCTGAGCGCCGCCCTCTCCCACTCACCACACCCCTTTCCCCACCTCCCGCCCTCCCCTTGCCCCCACAGCTTCTCTGCGCTCATTGGCCGGCTGCGCAGGCACAGGGACGCGGAGGTGCAGCGGCTGAGCGCTGCCCTCTCCGCCCTCTGGGGCCTGCCGCCCCTCCACCCCCGCCGCCGCGGCGCCGCTCTCTCCTGCGACGGGCGCGGGGGGCCATGGCAGGGCAGGGGGGGAAGGGAGGGGCGGGAAGGGCGGGTGCACAGGGCAGGGAAGGGCAGGCGCGGGCATGGCAGGGTGGCTTTGGCCGCAGAGGGTGCAGGAGGAGCAGCAGGAGAAGGGGGCAACGGTGCGGTTGCACAGGCTGCAGCATCTGCTGCAGCAGCCGTGGCAGCAGCAGCAGCGGCAGCGGCAGCAGCAGTTGCCAGAAGCCCAACTGCCACAGCAGGAGCAGCTGGTGCTGCTTCACAGCTACCCCAGCGCCACACCTCCTCTCTGGCAGAAGCTGCTGCTGCTGGGACCTGTGCCTCCGCTCCCTCTCACCCTTCTCCTGCTGCGGCTGCTTCAGCCTCTGCCACTGGCCCCGCTACTTCGCATCCCACTGCCCCCTCCTCTGCTGCTGCTGATTCCGCCACTGCGGCGGCCGCAGCAGCGGCAGCAGCAGCCAGCATGCCTCTGCTCGCACACACCCTCCGCCACCTGCAATCGCTGCCGCACCTGCAGACCCTACCACACCTGCAGTCGCTCTCACTGCCTCTCAGCATGAACCTCGCCCTGGGGGGAAACCTGGGCATGGGCATGGGTATGGGCATGGGCATGGGCATGGGCATGGGCATGAACGTACCACCCCAGTTGTGTCACCTGCTGCCGCTGGCCTGCCACTTCCCCTTCCACTACCTGCCTCTGCCGCTTCGCCTCGCGTTTCCCCCAGACCCTGCTTCCCTGCTGATGCAGCAGCAGCAGGGGCCAGCAGCAGCGGCAGCAATGGCAGCGGCCGCTGCAGCCATGGGTGGGCCGGGCTGTCGGCCTCAACGGGGTGGAGACGCGGGCGGTTCACCACATGGTGCAGGAGCAGCAGCTGCTGCTGCTACTCCACCTGCTGCTGCTTCTGCAGCTGCTGCAGCCGCGACAGTTGCTGGCGATGCTGCAGCGGGTGATCCTAGTGGACATGGGGAAGGTGGTACGGCTGCCACTAATAGCAGTGCTTCTGCCGATGATAGGGCGGTTGCTGCGAATGATAAGAGCACTAGCAAGCCACCACCCACCCCAACCACTGCATCTGCCCAACCCCATGAAGCAGCAGGTGACGCCTCAGCTGTCCCAGCATCAGCACACCCGGTGCCTCCTGCCTCTCACCCCCTGCCTGCTGCCGCGCACCCGCCGCACTTTTCAGCAGCCACCACAGCAGCGGCAGCAGCAGCGGTGCAGCACATGATGCAGCGCCGCCTCTCCCTTGCCCTCTCCCATGCCGTCTCCCAAGCCAACGCCGCCGCCGCTGCTGCTGCCACCTCGCCTGCTGCCAAACCTCCTGCCCCTTTCCAACCACATGCCCCCTCCGCTGCCCCCTCTGCCCCGCCTGCTGCTCCCGTTCCCGCTTCCCCCACTGCTGTGCCACATGCTGTTCCACCCTTTGCAACTCCTCCCTCCTCTCCCACCCCGGTCCCTGCCTCGCAGCCCACTAATCACCCACTCCCTGCCTCGCAGCCCACTAATCACCCACTCCCTGCTGCTGCTTCCTCGCCCACGCCCCCGTCCCCCTCTCCCAAGCTCTCGTCCCAACATGCCCCGCATCACGCCCCTCAGCACATCTGCCAGCCGCTCATGGCGCCCTTTACCAGCCCTGAACGCTGCCCTGCACCTTCTGCCTGTTCTGCTGCCTCCAAGGGGGCCAAGAGGCGGCAGGCGTGGAGGAACGCGGGAGGGGAGAAGGAAATGGAGAAGGGGAGGGAAAAGGAGGGGGAGAAGGGAGGGCAGAAGGGAGGAGAGGGTCAGGCGAGTGTGGATGGAGTGGGCAAGGATGTCCCAGAGCCTGCATTGCCAGTTGCGGCTGCTGATGCCCCTCTTCCTGCCCATACTGCTGCTGCTGCTGCTGCTGCTGCTGCTGCTGACGCAGCGAGTGGAGAAGAGGGGCGAAGGATGGGAGGGTCAGCAGCACCAGCAGCAGCACCCTTGCCCACACACCAGCCACCACCCCCGTTCCCTGCTGTCTTTGAATTGTCTCAAAGGTCACCCTCGTCCCCTGCTGCCCTGCCCACAGCGCCTGTAACCGGCAGTGCGGGCAGCACATGGCATGGTGCCGTGGCACATGCAGCAGCATTAGGTGCAGCATGCAGTGTGCTACCCCATGCCACGTGGCATGCTACTGCACCGGCAGCCAGCCATGCCACCGCCGTCCCGTTCGCCTGCGCTGCATCTGCTGCTGCGGCTTGTGTCAAGGTGGAAGGCAGCGCGGCAGCAGCAGAGGCAGCGCATGGGCGGGGAGTGGAGGGCATGGGAGGGACGTGGAGGGAAGATGCGCAGGTGGTAGGGGCGCAGGCTGTAAGGGGAGGGGTTGCAGGGGGAGAGGCTGCAGGGGGAGAGGCTGCATGGGGTGGAGAGGCGCATGGTGAAGGGGGTGTGACGGCAGGCATGGGTGCAGGGAGCAGGGCAGTGGTGGCAGCAGCATGGGCAGGTGGTGCAGGTGGGTTGGCTGCGGTGCCTGAGTGTGAAGCAGCGGCACCTCGTGCCGCGCCTGTGCCGCCCCGGCCTCTGTTCAAGTGGGTGGTGAAGGAAATCCCCGTGCATGCTGATTTGCATGTAGACGGGCATGCAGATGTGCATGCGGACGGATGTTCAGACACGCATGGGGCTGTGCATGGGGATGTGCAGGCAGGCGAGGCTGGTGCTGTCGAAAATGGGGGCGTGAGGGATAATGGCGTGGGCAGTGGGGGCATGGGTGGTGGGGCAATCGGTGGTGCAGGCATGGGCGGTGCAGGCATGGGCGGTGCAGGCATGGGCGGTGCAGGCATGGGCGGTGCAGGCATGGGCGGTGCAGGCATGGGTGGTGCAGGCATGGGCGGTGCAGGCATGGGTGGTGCAGGCATGGGTGGTGCAGGCATGGGCGGTGCAGGCATGGGCGGTGCAGGCATGGGTGGTGCAGGCATGGGTGTTGCAGGCATGGGCAGTGGGGAGAGAACACTGGAGGGTATGCGAAGTGTTGGAATGGAGTGGGGTGGGGAAGTGGGGTGGGGGGGGAGAGTGGGCGGCATTGGAAATTGGGGAGGAGCACACGGGCTGGCTGCGTATGGCATGCCGTATCACACGGCACTTGGCATGGCGTCAGTGCAGCAGGCAGCAGTGCAGCAGGCAGCAGCACAGCAGGCAACAGCGCAGCAAGCACTGGTTCAACAGGCAGTGGGGCAGCAGGCAGGGGTGCAGCAGCAGGGAGCAGGGCAGCAGCAGTGGTACGATGCATGCATGCATGGGCATGGGGCAGCAGGGCCGGTGGCAGGGCGAGCCATGGCGTACGCACAGGCAGCGATGCCATGGGCTGTGCAGCACGGCGGGTGGTGGCCTGCTGCTAGAGACCACACCGTGCTGGCAGCAGCAGGGGGAGCGCGAGAGGAGGAAAAGGCAGCTTCACATGGGCCTGACCCTGTGCGGGGTGCTCCTGCTGCTAATGGGACAATTGACACTGCTCACACTGTTGACATGACTGGCAAGCCCAAGGATTCGACTGACGTGACATCAGGACTGATTGATGTGAAGGTAGAGTGCACGGACGTTACACCGGGCTTTACTGACATAGGATCACAGTACACTGACATGCCCAAGGGTTCGACTGATGTCACACCAGGGGTGAGTGATGTGAAGGTAGAGTTTACGGACGTTGCACCAGACTTGACTGACATAGGGCCACAGTACACTGACATGACACTTGATTTGACTGACACGAAACCAGAGCTTATTGATATGGAACTGGTTTCAGATGAGTTGACCAACATAGCACTGACAAGCGCCGACGTGAAACCGATAGCTGCTGCTGATGTGGAACCAGTAGCTGCTGAACTGGAACCGATAGTTGCTGACTTGAAACCGATGGCTGCTGACCTGGCGGTCCAGAAGGCAGTACCACGTGGCACCGCTGACATGGCCGGAAGGGCATGCAGTGCGGCGGGCGATGCGACACAGCGAGAGCACAGCCTGACTGACATGACCCGCTCGTTGCTCCAGCAGCACATGGCCCCTGTCGTGGAGGCTAAGGCGGAGGTTGTAGCGCTGCGTGGGCAGGGCTGGCAGAGCTGCCCGGCTGTGGACCCTCCTTTGAGCCGCGTGCAGCAGAAGGGGGCCGAGTTGGAAGAACACAGGAGGCAGTGCCTGCAGGGGCAGCCGCAGCAGCAGCAATTGGTGGAGCAGCCGAGGGAGGAGGAAGAGCAGGAGAAGCAGAAGGTGCGTGTGAGAGGCGGACGTGTGAAGGAGGAGTGCGGGAGGGGGAGGGGGTCAGGCGTGGATGGCGAGGGGAAGAGGCGGGCAGAGGGAAGGCGGGCTCCCAGGGGCGAACTGCACGGAGTTGTGGCTGCGGTGCACAGGGAGGCGAAGCTTGGGGCGGCGGAGGAGGGGAAGAGGGAGGTGGTGGAGGGGGGGGGCAGGGATGCGTTGCAGGGGGAGGAGCAGGGTCCAGTGCAGGTGAAGGCTGGAGGGGTAGAGAAAGGGGTTGGGGATGTCGTGGGGTGCAGCGGGGCACAGGCAGGTGTGGCAGACATGAAGGGAGGTTTGGCGGACCTAAAGAGGGGTTCGGCAGGCGCGAAGGGAGGTTCGGCAGACGTGAAGGGAGGTGCCGTGGACGCGAAGGGAGGTTTGGCAGGCACGAAGGGAGGTTTGGCAGACGCAAAGGGAGTTTCGGCAGACGGGAAGGGAGGTATGGCAGACGCGAAGGGAGGTTTGGCAGACGTGAAGGGAGGTTCGGCAGACGCGAAGGGAGGTTCGGCAGACGTGAAGGGAGGTTTGGCAGACGTGAAGGGAGGTTTGGCAGAGGCGAGAGGCAGGAAGGTGCGTGGAGGAGCAGGCAAGGCGCAAGAGAGGCTGAGGCGGTGGCAGCAGCTGCAGCAGCAGCAGTTGCAGCAGCAGCAGTTGCAGCAACAGCAGGAGCAGGGAAAACAGCAGGAAGTGGAGGCGGGCAGGCGGGACGAGGCGGTGGGGCAGGGCAAGGTGGATGTGCAGAGGGCGGGTGAGACGGCGGGTGGTGGAGAGGAGGGCGCGGAGGGTGCGGAGGTGGCAGCAAAGTCAGAGTTGAGGGAGAGAGATGGGGCAAGGAAGGGCGATGATGCGAAGGGGGAAGAGGATGGCAAGAGGGGAGAGGATGGCAAGAGGGGAGAGGATGGCAAGAGGGGAGAGGACGGGAAAAAGGGAAAGGATGCAAAAACGGCAGAGGATGCAAAAAAGGGAAAGGATGCAAAAACGGGAGAGGATGCAAAAACGGGAGAGGGTGCAAAAACGGGAGAGGATGCAAAACGGGGAGAGGATGCAAGAAGCGAAGACACAAGCAGGGAAGAAGATGCAAAAACGGCAGAGGTTGCTAGAGGAGAATGGGAGCAGGTGGAAAAGAAGCAGGAGGGGAGAGTGGGCATGGATGGTGGGGCTGAAAAGCAGTGGGGCCTCCAACACGCGGATTCTGGGTGCCATGCAGTCAAAGCCCCCTCCGCTGCTGTTGCACCACCCGCTGCTGCATTCCCCGCTGCTGTGCCATCCCCTGCTGCTGCTGATGCTGGTGCAGGCAGTAGTAGCACCCATGGTGGCGCTGGCGGCAGCGCTAATGGGCCGCCAGCAGCACAGCTGCAAGCACTGTCAATCACTGCCCCTCAAACACCCTCTATCACTGCTCTGTCGGCCACTGCTGCTCAACCCCCGTCAACCACTGCCCCTCAGCCCCCGTCAACCACTGCCCCTCAACCCCCGTCAACCACTGCCCCTCAACCCCCGTCAGCCACTGCCCCTCAATCCCACCCACACCCTGCCGCCTCCCCCCTTGTGTCAACCCCTCCTCACAGTCTCTCACCATCGCCTCATCTCTTGCCCTCATCCTCCCTTATGCCCCCCCACTCCTCCTCTCCCCTCCCCCCTTCCCGCCTCCCCTCCCTGCCTCTCTCCCAGCCCTCCTACCCATCGCCCTCCCCCGCCCTGCATGGCCCCTCCCCGGGCTCCCTCACTCCCTCCTCTTGGCCGTCCCCTGCCGCTCCTTTCCCGCCCACCGCGCCCCCATCTCGCCCCGCATTCAAGCTTAAATGGAACGTGCGTGTCATCCCTGCTGATGCGCCCCCTGCTGCTGCCGACGCCCCCTCGTTTCCCACTGCACATGCTTCTCCTTTTGGTCATGCTGCTTCCGCTCATGCTGCTGCTGCTTTTACTTCTCATGGTGCCAGCTCAGCTCATGCAACCGGCTCAGCGATGCCTCACAGCCTGCAGGCAGGTAGTGCAGCAACAGGGGAAGCAGCTGGAGGGTGTGTGTCACAGTGGAAGGGCGAGGGGAACGGGTGGCAAAGCGAGGGGCACCGAAGGCAGGGCGATGGGCATTGGCCGAGCAAGGGGCATGGAAGGCAGAGCGAGGGACATAGAAGGCAGGGAGAGGAGCATGAGATTCAGCAGCAGCACATGCAGGCACATGAGTGGCAGCATCATCAGCAGCAGCAGCAGCAGCAGCATCAGCAGCAGCAGCAGCCGCAGCAGCAGCACAACGGGGCGCATCGACTCTCCTCATCATCATCCGCTGGCGTCTCTGCTGGTGCTGCTGCTCGATTCAGCTGCAACTGGCATGTGGACGCGCCTCTGCCACGCGCTCATCTCTCCTCCCCTGCCCCCCTCCGTCCCGTCTCCTCCCCACCACCCCCGGCCACGGCTGCTGACGGGCTGCCTTATGCCCTGCCACACGCTGCTGACGGGCTGCCTTACGCCCTGCCACACGCTGCATCCCGTGAGCACCAAAAGCAACAGCATCACATGCAGCAGCATCACATGCAGCAGCATCATATGCAGCATCAGCACACGCAGCAGCAGCAGTTTCATCATCGTGAGCATCATGACGTGACGCAGCATGAAAGCAACGACACTCTCAGCGCACCACCTCATTCTGCTCCTCATGCTGCCCCTTCCCACTACCATGCCCCTTCATCCCTCCCCTCATCCCTCCCATCATCCCTCCCATCATCCCTCGCCTCCTCTGCCACACCCCCCACCACGCTCCCCCTGGCATGGCGCCGGGCAGGCAGGCCCGTGTGGAGCGTCAGCACCATTGCCATACCCGCCAGCCCCTCCGTTGAACCACCCACTCACAACCTGCCACGTGGCACTGCTGGTTTCTCCAGTGCCGCAGATGCTTCAGTGCATCCCGTGCCACATGCAGCCGCCTCGCCTCTCCCACCACCCTCCATCCCGTTCCCTCACCCATCATCCCCACTCCGCTCCTCCCCTCCTCCTCCTCCCCCTCTCCCGCTCTCCCCAGCATCAGTCCGACCTGCACCAGGTGCCACCTGCCCCTCCCTATCTAACAACCCTCCTTCCAATCCACATGACAGTGCTCTGCCTCAGCAGTACCCCCCCTCTCCTTCCGCCCGTGCTTGCTCACACCCCCCTCCTCCCCCCCTTCCTCCCCCTCCTGCCTCTCCTCCACCATCTCCTCCCCCACCCCCTCCCCCCCCTTCCTCCTCCCCCCCTCCCCCGCCACCTTCCGCCCTTCCAGCTCCACCCCCTTCAAGCATCCCCCTCTGTGGCCCGGTTGCCAGCGGGGCAGGGGGGTGGGGCGCAGTGGATGAAGGGGAGGGGGAAGGGACATGGAGGGTGGGTGAGGGCGCGGGGGGTGCTGGAGTGCAGGGTGGGGAGGTTGGTGGGACGGGTGTGCCCTCGTGTGGGGAGGCGAGACGTGAACAGGTGGGGACTGAGGAGGTGGGGAATGGGGAGGCGGGGTATGAGGAGGACATGGAGGTGGATATGGAAACAGAAGATATCGGTGCGGACATGGGTGCAGGCATGGGTACGAGCATGGGTGCAGGCATGAGTACGAGCATGGGTGCAGGCATGAGTACGAGCATGGGTGCAGGCATGAGTACGAGCATGGGTGCAGGCATGAGTACGAGCATGGGTGCAGGCATGAGTGCGAGCATGGGTGCAGGCATGAGTACGAGCATGGGCATGGCCACCTGCATGGGCACGGGTGCGGGCATGAGTACTGGCATGGGTGCGGGCATGGGTACGGGCACGGGCACATGCATGGGCAGGGGCAGCGAGGAGGAGGAGGAGGACATGGATGTGGACATGGACCTCAGTGACCTGGACCTCTCTCACTGCCCTTCTGCCCCGCCACCACCTGGGCCGGCAGCAGGGGTGGATGTAGCAGGGGTAGCAGGTGGGCTGGGAGCAGGTGGGCTGGGAGCAGGTGGGCTGGGAGCAGGTGGGGCAACAGCAAATGGTGTGGCAGCAAGTGTGGCAGCAGGTGGGCAGGCATGGGGTAAAGAAGTGGAAGGAGGAGTGGGAGGTGTGGGCGGCAAGGAGGTTGGGGAAAAGGGCAGGGCAGCAGGAACAGCAGAGGGGGCAGAACCGCTTGGTGCAACATTTGTGAGTGCAGCACGAGCCACCGAGCCTAAATTAGCCCCGTCACTCGCACCAGCCCCGTCACTCACGCCAGCTGCGCCAGTGGCACCAGTCCCAGCAGTCCTGGCAGCCTTGGCAGCCCCAGAAGCACCAGCAGCCTCGAGACCCTTGGCGCCATCAGCAGCGGGGGGAGCATCTGCAGCGGCGGCGGCAGGCACGCGGGTGGCACCAGGGGGCGGCATGGCAGGGGGACGGCGGTGGGTCACTCCGCTGTGCCGCGAGTTTGAAGCCGCGGTGAGATGATGGGCAGGGCAGGGGGTAGGGGAAGGAGATGAGGGTAAGAGGTTGCGGCAGGTGGGGCGTGGTTGCGGGAGGAGGGGTTTCAAGAAGGATGTGTTTTTTACCAATGTTGTTGCGGTGTGTTTTATTTGTGCTTCTCTCTATCCCCAATGCATCCCAACAATGCCTTAAGAGAATAGTGTGGTTGTGTGTGTGTGTGTGTGTGTGTGTGTGTGTGCGTGTGTGTACGTGCATGCATGCATGTGTGTGTGCAGGTGACTGACATCGTGCAGCATGCCATGGCGCCATTCCTCTCCAAGGTAACTCCTCCCACTCAACCTCACTTCTCACCCTCTCTCAAGACTCGGCACTTGTCCACACTGCCATGGCTTGCTGCTCGTGCTACCCTGGCAGCTCACTCATCACCCAACTGACTCGTCACTTTCCCAATTCCCCCATGTGTGAGTATCTGCCCCATCTGCCCCCATTGCACCCTCTCAACCGCCTGGCTTGTGCCGCATATCAAAGCCCTCCACGCGCGCCTCACTCCTCTGCTTCCCCTCCTCACCTCCACTTCCATCTTCTCCCTTCCCACACACCCCCTCCCCTCGTATTCTCTCCCCTTCCCCTGTCTGCAGCTGTCGGGGCGGGAGGTGGAGCGCATGCGGGGCCGGCTGGTGCGGGAGGTGGTGGGGAAGGAAGCGGTGAAGAGCCGGCAGCGCACCCACCAGGTGAGCCACATGAATTCCCAAGGGGCTCCATAGACAGCAGCGCTTGTGCTGCAACCCTGTTCGCTGCCCGAGGACCTGTGCTGCCCCCATAGTAGCAGTGCGTCCCTTGCCCCCACTGTCATTCGAGCATACCTCCTCCCTGACCTGTGCTATACTGAAATCACTTTTGAGAATTCTCTAAAGTGATTCCAATATACCCTGATCTGTGCTTGCATAACCCTAAACCCTACACCCCCCACCTCTCTGTGAAGCATGCTCGCATACCCCCCTGGTTCGTGTTGTGTCCCTCACAACGCGTGTTTTATACAATGTGTCTGCCTCATATTGTTTATCCCACCTAATGCACCTCCTTTTTATTGCGCCTCCTTTGCGACTCGTGATTGCTCGCCATACGATACTGTTGTGCTGTGTCATGCCAGGGAGCGATGCGGCCCATAGAGGAGCGCCCATTGAGGGAGAAGGTGTCTGCATTCGTGCGCCAGCACATCGCCGTTTACCTGCAGAATAGGCCATCGCTATGATGATAATTCTGGCGATACAGGGCAACATGTATTGCTAGTTGTATAGATTGCAATGTATAGAATATCAGCTAACACTAGATAAGGGCGGGTCAAAAGAGTACGTCCGAACGGGGTTCAAAAAGGTCTAGGCTTGATCCAGAAAGGTATAATTTAAACAGAATATGGTTCGGTAGGGTTTTCTGAGAATGTGTGCAAAGTTTGACCCGCCCTAAGCTACCATAGTATATTTTTGTATGGCTTAGCTATAGTTCGAGATATACCAGATATACCATGTGCATCAGGGTAAAATGCTATTGAGACCTCACATCTTATGCCTTTTCAGAACATTCAACCGTTGTATATCCCAATTCAAATGTTATTGATCGCGAAGCACCTCCCCGAATACTAAAAAAGTGAATGCCACCAGCAGATCTGCGAACAGATCGAGCACCAGACCTACCGTGGCATTTCGTGAATTCAGAAGCCGCCTTCCACCGCAACAATCGCTGAGTCCAGCGCGTACTTCTCCTCTCGCTCGCCGCGTCTCCCGTCCTCCGCACGGCTTGACCCCTGCCTCCTCGCCTCCTCGCCTCCGATCAGCTTCTTTATCCGTCCACCTTATCTGTTCGCACGCGCGCTGCGGTCCGCGTGCCTGCGGGAAGAGCGGCGGGCGGCATGTCGGCGATGTCGGACAACGTGGGGCAGTACGGCCGCATCGGCACCGTGCCGGTAATGCCGCGACCCCACACCTTGCTCCGCCGCCGCTCGTACTGCCGCTTGCGTCGCCACGCCCTTACCCACCACTGCACCCGCTGCGCGCCGTCGACCGGCCCCTCTTAATGGACCAACGCCCGTCAAATGTTTCGCCCAGCGTCCGTTCCCTGCTCGCTGCTCTCTTCTCTCTGCGCTCTCCTCTTTCCTCTGTGCGCCACTCACCCTCATCGCATCTTCCCCTCACCCCATCGCCCATCTCCGTGCACTGCCACGCCCCCTCTCTCAATCGCCCAAACCAAATCCCTCTCAGGTGGCCCAGGGAGCCGAAGTCCCTCTAACGCACCCAGGTATGTCCGTATAACGAGTATGTCTTGTCAGCGCGCCCATATTCCTGTATCCAGCATCGCACGTGACTGCAGCGAGCTCCTTGTCCGCCTCACGCACCTCCCACCCTTTTGCTTCTTCCAGCCCCTCTGTTACCTATCCCTGCTCCACATCCCTCCGCTCCTCACCCCCCTGCTCCTTACCATTGTGTGCCTCTCCCCGCATCCGCCCAACCCCATCGCCCTCCCTGCTGCGTGGCAGAGTTTCCCTACACGCCCGAGCCCGCAGCGAGCAGGGGATCAGGTGAGTGCGGTGCGGGCAGCATGTCAGAGCGTGAGCGGCTTGGGCTCACAGCAATACCTTCTCTGCCTCGTGCCATTCCCCTGCCTCTTCCTCCCCTCCCCCATCATCCCGCTTCCCCACTGCACCCTCCTCGGCCCAAACCCTCCTCCCCATCCCCTCCCTCTCCCCCTCCCCTCTTCCCACCCCCCACCCAACCACCGACCCCCCCCCCCTCTCTCCCCCATGTCCCCCCCCAGACACCTTCTCGTCGACCGCAGGTGGGGCAGGCTCGTCCCTGCCGCCCCCCCCGGTGGGCATCTGGGGCGTGTTCAGCGTGGCGTTCTACCGCCCCTTCTTCGATGTGGACACCGCCGACGTGGCGGAGCGAGTGCGGGACGCGCTCATGCCCTTCCCGCGCTCCTCCTTCCTCGAAAAGACGGCCCTCAACCCCGACATGTGAGGAGAGGGGTGTGAGGCCCTTTGATCTCGAAAGCCGGGCATGTGAGGAGAGTGGTGTCAACCCCGACATGTGAGGAGAGGGGTGTGAGGCCCTTTGATCTCGAAAGCCGGGCATGTGAGGAGAGTGGTGTCAACCCCGACATGTGAGGGGAGGGGTGTGAAGCTGGGTGCAGCTCTCATCTATGCATCCATTACCCTCCCACCCGTACTCACCCCTCACCAAAACTCCCCCTCCCACCGCCCACCCCTCTCCCCGCACGGTAGCTACGGCCCGTTTTGGATCTGCACCACTCTCGTGTTCCTGTTGGCCCAGGGTAGAAGGGCAGCAGTGTGTGAGACGCCGATGTAGCAACAGGATCAACAGCTGTAAAACAGCCAAGTGATAAGTGCGTTAAAAAGAACTCTTCCTCCCACCCCCCACCCGCACGGCAGCTACGGGCCGTTCTGGATCTGCACGACGCTCGTGTTCCTGTCGGCCTCGCTGGGCAACCTCGCGAGCTACCTCAGCTACGCTGCCTCGCCCTCATCAGCCGCGGAGGAGCACTGGCACTACAACATCGACGCCGTCAGCTGGGCTGCCGCCATCTTCTATGGCTATGTGGCTGTCGTGCCGCTGCTGCTCTTCTTCCTCCTGCGCTACCTGCAGGTACTACTTGCACTGCTGTTCTGTGCTATCCGCAACACCTGGAGGTCGTTCCCTCTGACTTGGATGGACTGCTGATTGGAATCCCAGCCACTGCATGCAGATTGCTGTTCTCTGTTGAACGCTGCTCATTCGGTTAGCAACAGCGTTTGATCAATGCCCCTCTCTGCCTTCCCGTGCATGGTGTGTGGATGGGATGTGTGTGGAGTGCATGTGGCGTGCATGTGGTGTGTGCGTGGCATGTGTGACGAGTGCGTGTGGCGTGCATGCGGTGTGTGCATGGCATGTGTGTGGAGTGCGTGTGGCGTGCATGTGGTGTGTGCATGGCATGTGCCTGGCGTGTACCTGTCGTGTGTGTGCGTGCAGGTTTCCGCGGGGTTGGTTCAGCTGTGGTGTCTGTATGGCTACTCTCTGGCTGTCTACATCCCCATCTCGGTGCGTGCAAGGGGCAAGGGGCATGGTGCAAGGGGGATGGGGCATGGTGCAAGGGGCAAGGGGCAGGGTGGTTCGTGGTGCATAGTACATGGTGCATGGGGCATGGTGCATGGAGCATGGTGCATGGAGCATGGAGCATGGTGCGTGGTGCATGGTGCTGGCCTCCCCAACTCCTGCTGCTATTTCTCTCTGCCATGCGCCAAGGGCATCAGGCAGGACCGTGAATGCCAGCGCATCCATGCACCCTCACACACATGTGCATTGGCACATGGAACATCATCCGTCATGCATCTCCCTTGCACGTACTTCCTCTTGCATCTCCCTTGCACGTACTTCCTCATGCATCTCCCTTGCACGTTCTTCCTCATGCATCTCCCTTGCACGTTCTTCCTCATGCATCTCCCTTGCACGTTCTTCCTCATGCATCTCCCTTGCACGTACTTCCTCTTTGTACCTCTCACCCCCCCTTCCCCTTCTCCCCTCCCCCGCCCCCTTCTCCCCCCCTTCCCGTCCCCTGGCAGTTCATAACGGTGCTGCCGCTGGACCTGCTGCGCTGGCTCATAGTGCTGGGCGCCACGGCCATCTCGTGCTTCTTCCTCGGTGTCAACCTGCGCGCGCAGATCACAGTGGGCCACGAGATGTGGTTCCCCATCGTTGTCGGCGCTGTGCTGCTGCAGGCCGGCCTGGGGGTTCTCCTCAAGCTCTACTTCTTCACCTACATTCAGCTCTAGGCCCCGCTCTTGAGGTGCCTCAAAAGACTCAGCTCTAGGCCCCACGTTTGAGGTGCCTAAATATACTTTCGGCTCTAGGAAAGGTCATGCTGGAAAGCTGTAACGAGCGTGTTTTGTTACACAAGTATCCAAAATGCACTCATGGCAAAGCTGCTGGATGCACGCACACTTGCCTAAGCCTTGCCAGGCCTGTCTCCCAAAATGTGAACAGCGGAACAAGGTTGGATTAGCAAGCATGAGACACTATACAAACCTTAAAGAGTTGTACTCAGTACTATCTACTTCACTGTAGCCATTCACAGATATGAACATAGTTTGACGCACCCCCACAAGCGAAATGAGGAGGGGGGAGATATAAAAGCAAGACAAGCATTGCACGGCCGAATGGAAGTTTTTTTTTTAGAACGACGGTAGAGTTATCATCCCCAAAAAACAGAAGGATCCGCACATGTGCCGAAAATGCAGCAGACATGGTTCATTCGCCATTACCAAAGACCGCTCATGCTCGCCTCCCTCCCACGCTCTTGCTGGCTTGGGTAGGTCCAAATGCACACAGCCGTTTGACCGAACGAAAGAAAAACGCTTGAAACAAACGTTCATCCCAAAAACACGGAAGGACCCGCACATGTGCAAAAACTGCAGCAGGCATAATTGATTTGCGGGCAACAATGACCGATCGTGCTAGGCACCCTCCCACGCCCTTATTGGCTTGGTAATTGGTCCAACGCACATAGCCGCGTGACCCAAAGGAAGAAAGCAGGCATAATTGATTTGCGGGCAACAATGACCGATCGTGCTAGGCACCCTCCCACGCCCTTATTGGCTTGGTAATTGGTCCAACGCACATAGCCGCGTGACCCAAAGGAAGAAAAACGCTGGGAAACGAGCGCTTCCACCCACAAAACGCGGAAGGATCCCACATGTGCAGGGAGTGCAGCGGGCGCTCTTCATTCGTGAGCGCCGATGACCGATGATGCTCACAAACCTTCCACACCCTTGCTGGCTTGGTAATAGGCCCAAACAAGCGCAGCCACGTGACCCAGCGGAAGAAAAACGCTCGGAACGAGCGCTTCCACCCCCAAAACGCAGAAGGATCCGCAGATATGCAGGAAATGCAGCGGGCACTCTTCATTCACGAGCGCCGAAGACCGATGATGCTCGCTATGTTAAACTCCTTGCTAGAGCTTACCATAGTAGCCATGGCTAGGGTCTAGGTTTTACGAAGGAGAAAAGATAACAGAAGAAGAGGGGTTACACTAGCAGTAGATAGGATACTTATGGCAAACCCTAATTTGGGCTGTACTTACTATAAAGTACCCCACTGCAGACTAGACAATTATAGCATTCTAGCACGCTACCCTTTCACGCCCTTGCTGGCTTGATAATATGCCTAGACAAGCGGAGCCACGTGACCCAACGGAAGAAAAATGCTCAGAACGAGTGCTTCCATCCTTAAAACACGGAAGGATCCGCACATGCGCAGGAAGTGCAGCGGGTGCTCTTCATTCGCGAACGCCGATGACCGATGATGCTTGCAACTCTCCCACGCCCTTGCTGGCTTGGTAATAGGACCAGACAAACGCAGCCACGTGACCCAGCGGAAGAAAAAGGCTCGGAACGAGCGCTTCCACCCCCAAAAGGCGGAAGGATTCGCACATGTGCAGGAAGTGCAGCGGGCGCTCTTCATTCGCGACCGCCGATGACCGATGATGTTCGCAACTCTCCCACGCCCTTGCTGGCTTGGTAATAGGACCAGACAAGCGCAGCCACGTGATCCAGCAAAAGAAAAACGCTCGTAACGAGCGCTTTCACCCCCAAAACGCGAAAGGATCCGCACATGTGCAAGAAGTGCAGCGGGCGCTCTTCATTCGCGAGCGCCGATGACCTATGATGCTCGCAACCATCCCACGCCCATGCTGGCTTGGTAATAGGCCCAGAAAATCGCAGCCACGAGACTCGGCAGAATAAAAACGCTCGGAACGAGCGCTTCCACCCCCAAAAGATGGAAGGATCCGCACATGTGCAGGAAGAGCAGCGGTCGCTCTTCATTCGCGAGCGTCGATGACCGATGATGCTCACAACCCTCCCACGCCCTTGGTGGCTTGATAGTCAGCCCAGAAAAGCGCAGCCACGTGACCCGGCGGAAGAAAAACGATCGGAACGAGCGCTTCCACCCCCAAAACGCGGAAGGATCCGCACATGTGCAGGAAGTGCAGCGGGCGCTCTTCATTCGCGAGCGCCAATGACCGATGATGCTCGCAACCCTCCCACGCCCTTGCTGGCTTGGTAATAGGCCCAGAAAAGCGAAACCACATGACCCGGCGGCGGAGCAAAAACGCTCAGAACGAGCGCTTCCATCCCTAAAACGCGGAAGGATCCGCACATGTGCAGGAAGAGCAGCGCGCGCTCTTCATTCGCGAGCGCCGATCACCAATGATGCTCGCAACCATCCCACACCCTTGCTGGCTTGGTAATGGGCCCAAACAAGCGCAACCAAATGACCCAGCGGAAGAAAAATGCTCGGAACGAGCGCTTCCAGCCCCAAAACGCGGAAGGATCCGCACATGTGCAGGGAGTGCAGCGGGCGCTCTTCATTCGCGAGCACGGATGAACGATGATGCTCGCTACCCTCCCACGCACTTGCTGGCTTGGTAATAGGCCCAAAGAAGCACAACAATATGACCTGGCGGAAGACAAACGCTCGGAACGTGCGCTTCTAGCCCCAAACGCGAAAGAGATCCGCACATGTGCAGGGAGTGCAGCGGGCGCTTTTCATTCACGAGCACCGATGACTGATGATGCTCGCTACCCTCCCACGCACTTTCTGGCTTGGTAATAGGCCCAAAGAAGCACAGCGATGTGACCTGGTGGAAGACAAACGCTCGCAACGTGCGCTTCTACCCCCGAACGCGAAAGGGATCCGCACATGTGCACGGAGTGCACTGGGCGCTCTTCATTCGCGAGCACCGATGACCGATGATGTCTGCGACCCTCCCACGCCTTTGGTGGCTTGGTAATAGGACCAGACAAGCGCAGCCACTTGACCCGGCGGAAGAAAAACACTCCGAACGAGCGCTTCCACCCCAAAAACGCGGAAGGACCCGCACATGTGCAGGAAGTGCATAGGGCGCTCTTATTCGTGAGCGCCGATCATCGATGATGCTTGCGACCCTCCCACGCCCTTGCTGGCTTGGTAATAGGACCAGACAAGCGCAGCTACGTGACGCGGCGGAAGGAAAACACTCGGAACGAGCGCTTCCACCCCCAAAATGCGGAAGGATCCGCACATCTGCAGGAAGTGCAGCGGGCGCTCTTCATTCGCGAGCGCCGATGACCGTTGATGCTTGCAACCCTCCCACGCCCGTGCTGGCTTGGTAATAGGACTAGACAAGTGCAGCCACTTGACTCGGCGGAAGGAAAACGCTCGGAAAGAGCTCTTCCACCCCCAAAACGCGGAAGGATCCGCACATGTGCAGGAAGTGCAGCGGGCGCTCTTCATTTGCGAGTGCCGATAACCGATGATTCTTGCGACCCTCCCACGCTAGGCCCTTGTTCTTGCAATTTTGCACACGCTAGGCCCTTGTTCTTGCTATTTTGCACATGCTAGACCCTTGTTCTTGCAATTTTGAACACGCTAGGCCCTTGTTCTTGCAATTTTGCACAGGCTAGACCCTTGTTCTTGCAATTTTGCACACGCTAGGCCCTTGTTCTTGCAATTTTGCACACACTACACCCTTGTTATTGCAATTTTGCACACGCTAGGCCCTTGTTCTTGCAATTTTGCACACGCTAGGCCCTTGTTCTTGCTATTTTGCACACGCTATACCCTTGTTCTTGCAATTTTGCACACGCTAGGCCCTTGTTCTTGCATTTTTGCACACGCTAGACCCTTGTTCTTGCAATTTTGCACAGGCTAGACCCTTGTTCTTGCAATTTTGCACACGCTAGGCCCTTGTTCTTGCAATTTTGCACACGCTAGACAATTGTTATTGCAATTTTGCACACGCTAGGCCCTTGTTCTTGCTATTTTGCACACGCTAGGCCCTTGTTCTTGCTATTTTGCACACGCTAGACCCTTGTTCTTGCAATTTTGCACACGCTAGGCCCTTGTTCTTGCATTTTTGCACACGCTAGGCCCTTGTTCTTGCAATTTTGCACACGCTAGGCCCTTGTTCTTGCAATTTTGCACACGCTAGGCCCTTGTTCTTGCAATTTTGCACACGCTAGGCCCTTGTTCTTGCAATTTTGCACACGCTTAACCCTTGTTCTTGCAATTTTGCACACGCTAGGCCCTTCTTCTTGCAATTTTGCACACGCTAGGCCCTTGTTTTTGCAATTTTGCACACGCTAGGCCCTTGTTCTTGCTATTTTGCCCACGCTAGTCCCTTGTTCTTGCTATTTTGCACACGCTCGACCCTTGTTCTTGCAATTTTGCACACGCTAGGCCCTTGTTCTTGCAATTTTGCACACGCTAGGCCCTTGTTCTTGCAATTTTGCACACGCTAGGCCCTTGTTCTTGCTGTTTTGCACACGCTATGCCTTGTTCTTGCTATTTTGCACATGCTAGACCCTTGTTCTTGCAATTTTGCACACGCTAGGCCTTTGTTCTTACAATTTTGCACACGCCAGGCCCTTGTTCTTGCAATTTTGCACACGCTAGGCCTTTGTTCTTACAATTTTGCACACGCTAGGCCCTTGTTCTTGCAATTTTGCACACGCTAGGCCCTTGTTCTTGCTATTTTGCCCACGCTAGTCCCTTGTTCTTGCAATTTTGCAGACGCTAGGCCCTTGTTCTTGCAATTTTGCACACGCTAGGCCCTTGTTCTTGCAATTTTGCACACGCTAGGCCCTTCTTCTTGCAATTTTGCACACGCTAGGCCCTTGTTCTAGCAATTTTGCACACGCCAGGCCCTTGTTCTTGCAATTTTGCACACGCTAGGCCCTTGTTCTTGCAATTTTGCACGACGCTAGGCCCTTGTTCTTGCAATTTTGCAGACGCT